CTCTCTCTCTCTCTCTCACTCTCTCACTCTCTCACACACACACACACACACACACACACACACCAGTTCATGTTGCCTTTGTCATGTTTGTGTTTGACCTGTGTAAATATCAATGTGAATATGAACTGAATATACTTTGAAAAGTTTGTTGTCAGTGAGATTTTTAATATTTTTTAAAATCAGTGTCTTCTGCTCAGCAAAGGCTGCATTTATTTGATCAAAAATACAGTGAAAACAGTAATATTGTGAAATATTATTTACAATTTAAAATAGCTTTTTTCTGTGTGAATATCTGTTAAAATGGAATTGATTTCTGTTATCACATTTTCAGTATCATTACCCCAGTCTTCAGTGTCACATGATCCTTCAGAAATAATTCTAATATGCTGATTTGCTGCTCAAGAAACTAAATATTATCATGTCCTCCAGTTTTTTTTACCCTAATAAAAGTTATAGGAGCATTAAATAGTTAATAAAGAAACTTCATTCTAATGCTCATTATATTAGCGTTAGCCGCGCTTATGCTAACGATTAACTACTCTAATAACAGCGTTCATTTCAATCCTACATTCAAATTAAAATATTGAATAATATTCATAACAGAAGCGGCGTTTCCCACAGACCTGCAGTCTATTTGTGGCAGCTCACAAACGCTGCTCAGGCATTTCAGGCAAGATGAAATGAAAATGACATCCATAATTTTCTGAAGACAGTCGGTTTCCTTCAGAAATACAGTGATATAAAAACACCCGCACCAGGTTTCGACTTTGACACGTGCAGTGCTCATGTTTATTCAACGAAGTCAAAGCCTTTTAGAAAATCTATGTGTGGCGGTAAGTTTTGATATATTTGTGGCGGGCAGCCACAAATAAATCAATATATGAGAAACACTGATCTAAATATTCAAAATTAAAATGAAACTTACCTGCTTGAACTCTTTCATTTGATCTGGGTGTCTTTAAAGTGTTTTGTTAGTTTGGTGTGTTTCCTCGTTTTGATGTCCCCATGTCTCAGTGCTTTTATGAAGAGAGCGCATCTGC